CTACCAGCCAAGCCCTGCGAAATCCACTTGATCAGCATCTTGCTGACCTGCAGCACATGTTCATGATGGTCAGACCGCCTACACCACCTGTGCCCAACACACCCTCATCAAAGGAGGAGCAGGAACCTGCAGCCAATGCGAGTGGCATAGGTGAACAGGAAAACCAGACCCGCTTTGCCGAGGCAAGTGGGAGCAGGCGAGACGAAGACCATGCTAGCCGCGACCTGCCGGCGCCGGCTGCGACCTTTGCCAGCGTCCCCACTCCCGGGGGAAGACGAAAGGTGCCACTAGACCGATGCCAAAAGAGCTCTCCTCTGAGCCTCGCTGAGGCCTGCCCCCCCCCCTTTTGAAGGGGCTGATGGCATTCGTGCCTGTTTGCAAGCTCTTTCCATTCCTTGGAAAAATTTCTGGGGGCAGCCTGAGGGCATCGTGCCTGCTGCTCTTCTGAGAAATGTCACCAAAGTGCAGGCTCAAGGGCCACCGATCACTGCCTTTCATGTCACGGACGGTTCCAGCAAGGCAGGGAAGGGGGGGTGGGGAGCTGTTCTCTGTGCCCAGCATGACCATCAGGGCGAAATGCCTTTCTCCCTGGTAGGGGTTGCAGGGGGTCCGACGGGCTTACTCTTTGCGCATAACTGTGATGCCGATCACACTAACAATGCAGCCGAAGCGCAAGGGCTTCTGATGGCCACACTCTTTGCCTTGTCCACGGGGCCTGTCCCCTTGCATCTGCACGGGGATTCCAAGATCGCGATTGGCGAGGCAGCAGGGTGGTCGGCCCCAGTTGAGCCTGCAGAGGGACCGGCGTCGCAGGTGCACAAGGCTCTCAGATATGTGACTCAGATTCTGCAAGAGATGGGCAAGCCGTTGGCCCACCACTGGGTCAAAGGTCATGCAGGTTGTGTTTGGAATGAGATGGCCGATCGTGTGGCTGATGCGGGACGCACTGGCAAAATCCGCACTACCCTGGCGCCCTGTGCATGTGCAATTGTCCGTCACAAGTTGTTGCCTTGGGCTTGGATGGCACACAACCATGCCACACTGCCAAGCCTTGATGACATGGCACGCGGCCAATATGAAAAGCCCGATACGCCCAGCCCTGACGATTTAGCGGTCATTCTGAAGGATGTTGAATGCACTGACAAGGTTTCTACCCAGCCCTGCCAGCTCAAGTTCTTGACTGCCAATGTTTGCACTCTTGTGGGCAAAGTAGCGGCTTTCAAACAGCAGGGTTCAGAGCAGGGCATTCACGTCATGGCCTTTCAGGAGACCCGATGCAAGGGTGGCCATGTTCCTGGCAAGTGGATCACCTTTCAAGCGGGAGCCAATAAAGGGTTCGACGGGGTTGCCCTTTGGTTCAATTCAGGGGTTGCTTGGGGGCCCAAAACTGGCAGTGTGCCTCTATGCCCAGAGCATCTGTTTGTTCTCGTTCAGGAGCCAACCCTGCTGGCAGTTGCGTGCCAGCATCCAAGTTGTAAGGCCATGTTTGTCTCCTTCCGAGGACCGCATAGCCTGTGCTCTCCCCAACAGATCAAGCAATGGTGGGCTCACTTCCGAGCTGTTCTCAGCCCCTTTCTCGACCAATGGCCCTGTGTCCTGCTGGGGGATGCAAACGCCAAAATTGAACACCCCAGGCCACCATTTGTGGGGGACTTGGGGGTGGGCCGGCAGGATACTGCTGGAGACCTGCTGACTGAGTTGGCAGTGCAGTGGGATCTCTGTGTGATGAACACGCAGCACCATGTGATGCGCGGAGTAGCAGCGCAGACCTGGAAGAATAGCAGGCTCGACTATGTCCTGGCCCCCATGGGCTGGGGTGCTAGAGGGTGGGCTTCTCCAGGCAGGAGCTTTGACCTGCTCAATTCACATGAAGACCACATCGCGGATCATCAACTGCAGTGTTCCCCCTGCCGGACGCGCACAGTGTCCACCGCCGAGGCGTACCTTTCGGGGTCTGCCCTCAGAGCTGTATGCCGAGGCCCTGACGCTGGTCAAGCAGAAGCGGACGGCAGTGAAGCAGTCTGCGACGGCCAACTGCAAACTCCTCATGGCCCAACGAAAGTTCCAGCTCCGCCGATTCTTCAACAGACGGCGCGCGGAAAGACCAGTGCGCATTGCAAGACATGTGGCTGCCATTTGGCAACACGTGGTTGAACTGGCCAACCTGAATCTTAAGCGCCAGCTGCGCCACGACAGAGCCGCCTACCTCACCGAAGTCGCGGCGAAAATTGAGCAAGGAGTTTTGAGCAAGAACTCCCAGGAGGTCTTCCAGGCGCTCAGGTACTTTCGCCCAGCGTCGAAACGTGTACACAAGCCTTGGGGGCCGCTGCCTATGCTTGAGCGCCCGGATGGTAGCATGGCGGAGACCTTCTTTCAGGCCCAAGAAGTGAAGGCGCGCTACTTCGGAGATCTTGAAGCGGCCATCCCTCTGGCGCCAGAGAAAATTGCTGGCCCTGTGTCTGCATCTCCCTGCAAGGACACCTTCACGCTCGGTGAAGTGCCTACGCTTCTCGACTTGGAAGGCGGACTCAGAGATCTGCCCAGGCGGAAAGCTCCTGGTGCCTCAGGACTGCCAAACGAGGTCTGGCTGGCAGGCACAGCGACGGCGGCCCGCACATGGATGCCGGTACTCCTTAAGTGCCAGGTGCGCCTCACTGAACCGCTCCGCTTCTCCACCAGCTTGATGGCCACACTTTACAAAGGCAAAGGCACTGTCTTTGATGTAACCAATCATCGCTCAATCTACCTAATGGAGGGTGTAGGCAAAGCCTTCAGAAAGCTACACCGCCCTCCACTCGTCCAGTCCCTGCAATCCCACAAACCAGGGCTTATGCAGGGCAGCACTCCACACAGTGCCTCAGACCAGCTCACGCACTACCTTATCACTTTGGCTCTTTTGGCCAAGCAGCAAGGAGCATGCTGTGCGCTTTTGTTTGTGGATGCGAGGTCCGCGTTCTACCGTGCGCTGCGTGAACGGCTCATCGGCATGCCTACGTCGGATGAAGAGCTATGCAGCATCCTTAGTCAACTGGGGGTGTCTGATGGAGCCTTTCGAGGAGTCATGGCATGGATCACTGGTGATTCCCTTATGCAAGGGGTGCCTACGCATGTGAGAAGAGTTGTGGCCTCCTGGTTTGACTCGTCTTGCTTTGTCCTGAGGGGCCTGCCTCAGGCTTTCCAGTCAAGGGCCGGCCAGGCCGGGGGATGCTATGGCTGACATTCTGTTCGCATTTGTCCTGTGTGACGCCATGGTGGAGATCAGCACCACTTTGGAAGCTGCCGGGCTGCTTGAGAGTCCAGCGACAACGCCTCTGCAGCATCCGACGTGGGCGGATGATGTTTGTCTGCCGGTCTTCTCCAGGACCGCGTGTGGCCTTACCAACAGGCTTTCTGCGGTGTGTGCTGTGATGCATGATGCCTACCTCCGCAGAGGACTGGCACCGAACTACTCCAGAGGCAAAACAGAGGCCGTCATTGTCTGGGCTGGCAAGGGCAGTGCAGCGGCGAAGCAAGGTGTTTTGAAGCAAGGGCACCAGGTACGTGTTGTGCCCCAGCTGGATGCACCTTTTGCCTTGTCGGTGGTGCCACGATATGTCCACCTGGGCACTGTACTCAGCACTGCAATGAATCCCAAGGCCGACTTTGCGGTAAAACTGGCCCATGGCATCCAGGCGGCCGCACCTGTCGCTCGGAAGGTTCTACGGAACAAGGCGATCCCTTTGAAAGGAAGAGCCGAGATCCTCTCTTCGATCGCCTTGTCGGCAGCGACGCCTAATACTGGGGTCTGGGTGCCCACTGACCCAGCGCTGGAGAAGTGGACCCAAGGCATCACGTCCATGTATCGCATGCTGCTTCCAGAGGATAGATGGGGCCACCACCCGGATTTTCCAGGCCCAGCTGAGCTCAGTGGAGCTCTCATGCTCCCTATGCCTGCTGCATTACTTGTGGCAGAAAGAATCAGACACTTCCTGCGGATTGTACGGGATGACAACCGCTTTCTTTGGGAGTTGTTGTGCTTGCATGCTGAACTGTCTGAGGATGCGTGGCTCAGACAGGTGCATAAGGATCTATGCTTTGTGGCCGAGTGGGCGCCAGAGATCCTCAGGCCAGAGGTGGTTAAGGCTGCATGTGGAAGCCATGAGGAATTGCTCGCCTTGGCTACTGCCAAGGCTCCTTGTGTCACGCGGGCCTTGAAGCAGGCAATCGGCCAGCACACAGTCAAGCTGCAGCAGTGGGCCACCTTCCAGCTTAGGGCGAGGAAGCTCGGCCTCAGACCTCCGCCACAGATGCCTGCTGGCGCAAAACACCCCTGTTGGATGTGCGATCAAGTGTTTCCCTCCACGTCCCACCTTGCAGCGCACATCCAAACTGTCCACGAGTACTCGCAGCTCGCGCGCCAGTACACCGGGGGCTGCACCACATGCAGGGCCTGCCTTAAGAACTTCTGGGACTCGGACAGATTGCTGCGGCACCTTGCACGTTCGAATACCGGATGCTTGCCCTTCCTGTTGGCGGTGGTTCCACCGACGGATGCGCATGAATGGGTGCCAGACGCCGGGCCAGCAACCCACTGGCCTCCTGTGCGGGCTGCAGGCCCTCTTAGACCCTTCACGCAGGAAGACGCGGCCTGCCTGTACGCTAGGCTTTTTGAGCTCGAGCAGTGGGAGGTCCAAGCTCTTATGCCTAGCCTTGAGAAATTCGACGCAGTCGCTTTTGATGTTGCCAATGTACTTTGCGATGTCAGAGTCTCTGACAGAGCGGCAGTTCGGTGTACAGATTTTCTCCCGAACGGAACGGCTCTGATTGACTCTTGGCTCCAAACGTGACGGCCTCGGTTTGCATGTTTTTGTTCAGCTTTGCCAGCAAGTGCATTGCATTCAGCGCGACATTGACTGTCTCTTTGCTGTCCGACTGACTGACTATACCCTAAACCCTAAACCCTAAACCCTAAACCCCCTAAGTGCAGTGCACCGTCTACAAGCACCTGTGAGTCTTTGAAGGCCTGCAGGGAGAACGCGGACTACCTTGGCGTTCAGGCTTCGCACGGGGTGTTTAGGGTTTAGGGTTTAAGGTTTATAGGGTTTATAGGGTTTATAGGGTTTATAGGGTTTATAGGGTTTATAGATAATTAGGGTTTATAGGGTTTATCGGGTTTGTAGGGTTTATAGGGTTTTTAGGGTTTATAGGGTTTATAGGGTTTAGTGGGTTTATAGGGTTTATAGGGTTTATAGAGTTTATAGGGTTGATAGGGTTTATAGGATTTATAGGGTTTAGGGTTTAGGGGGAGGGTTTAGGGTTTAGGGTCTAGGGTTTCGTAAGGGTTTCGTAAGGGTTTCGGGTTTCGGGTTCCAGGGTTCAGGGTTCAGGGTTTAGGGTTTAGGGTTCAGGGTTCAGGGTTTGGATTTCACATGTGGGGAGCCGCTAGTGCAGTCTCATCGCAGGTCTGATGCGTCGACCCCGCAACTTCCGAACTCCAAACTTTTCAGTTCTTGAGGGATTTCGAGGTATAGTACTTCATAAACCCCTTATCGAATCCGTTTACACGCCAATCTCCCGAAACCTACTTAAAGCCTAAACCCCAAACCCCACAAGCCCTTGCTTAATATTGTTTCTGTCTTAAGTTCTTTGTTCTGCATAGCCGAATCTGTGTGAGTAACTCTGGCTTCGTTTGAATTGCTTCATACCTTAACCCCCTTGAGGAAGGGTGCACTCTTGTGTATTGCAGACGTTCTTGAGCTCAGCTTGTTGCCGAAAGTTAGGCTGCGTAGTGGACCGCACAAACCCAGTCTCAAACCCTAAGCCCTATAAGCCCTAAACCCCAAACCCCAAACCCTAAACCCTAAACCCTATACCCTATAAACCCTAAACCCTAGAATAACACAAAACCTATGTCACACCAAAGGTGGCAACCCACGTGGCTGACGTGCCGTGAGCCTAGCCGACCAAACCCGAACGACCCTAATCCCTAAGCCCTAAACCCTAAACTTTTCTTCACCCTAAACCCTAAACCCTAAACCTCAAGGTTTGGGTTTTGGAGTTGCGGCTTTGATTTGGGCCCCGGGGTCTGGGAGCTTGGGCAGGCGGAGGCCGGTGGTGGGGGGATACGAACATGTCAGAACGCACCCCATTTACACCCAGAAGCCCTAAACCCTGAAACCCTGAAACCCCTAAAACCAATCCCTGAAACCCTCCCCCCCCCACTGTAAACCCTGAAACCCCTAAACCCTAAACCCTGAAACCCTCCCCCCCCCACTGTAAACCCTGAAACCCCCAAATGCTAAAACCCGAAAACCCTAACCCCCTAGCAAAAACCCAGATGGGATCTGGCACCCTAAATAACCCTAAACCCTATACCCTAAACCCTAAACCCTATGCCCTAAACCCTAAATAGCCCTAAACCCTAAATAGCCCTAAACCCTAAACCCTAAACCCTATACCCTAAACCCTAAATAACCCTAAACCCTTTTTAACCCTAAACCCTAAACCCTAAACCCTCAGAGCTTGTCGCTTTGCTTTTGCGCCCAGGTCACATTTCCACGGCCTCCCGCTTGCCAATCGCTCCGTTGACAAGCCCGTGCGCACAGAGTTTTTGGTGTCGGAAAATGTGTATGTAGAGGGAGAGACTATGCTATACATATTATATGTATATATATATATATATGTATACACATAATGTTTTGCTCTATACGTATGATATAGTCACTGTTTCATTTCTATGTTTTCTAAACCCTTCAACCCAAACTGGGCCACCCAGTTTTCCCCGCGGGCTATTGTGCGACCGCTGAGGGCCATGACGGCCCCGCCGTGGGACAGGCCAGGCGTGAATCCCCAAAGTTCAGGGTTCAGGGTTCAGGGTTCAGGGTTCAGGGTTCAGGGTTCAGGGTTTAGGGTTTAGGGTTTAGGGCTCTTTTTTTGTTTGAAGTTAAGGCTGCCAGGTGTTTGGCGTTTAGGGGTCAGGCTTTGAAGGCTGTTTAGTGTTCAGGGGTCGGTTCAGCTTTCGGGTCTGGTGCGGTGAGTTCAGGGTGCAGGGTCTAGGGTTTAGGCCTTAGGGTTCAGGGTGTAGGGCTTAGGGTGTAGGGTTTAGGGTTTAGGGTTTAGGGTTTAAGGTTTAGGGCATGGTTCTGCGGGACAGGATCCAGGGTGACCACTTCTGTCAGGCAACATGGCCGGTGCTACGCTGCAACCGAACTCTCCCCACAAGCACCAAGTTATTGTACTTTGGGGTGCATATAAGGGGTAATTAACCCATGTATGTTACCCCATGTGACAAATGTATCTTGGGAGGTACCCAGATCCGGGGTTTAGGGTCTTCCGGGTGGGGGGGGGGGGGCTTGGGGGTTACATGGGCCTTTTGTACGGTCCCTAACCTCCTTTTAAGGGTTCTGAAGCGTTTTAGAGGGTATATAAGGGGTATATGAGGTGTAAGCCCTTTGTAAGGGCCCATACGAAGGGACCATGAAAGTACCCTCAGAGGGGCTACAGAGTTCGGCCTCCTTGTCTGAGGGTCAATTTTTGCAGTACTGCAGTCACGGGTCTAGGCGCGCGATTGCTCAGAGGCCTCCCCCTTGAGCCCCGAAATCCTTACCCGAAGCCGACAATTTTTTTGGAGAGGTTCCTGGCCTAAACCCTAAGCCCTAAACCGTTAACCCCAAACCCTAAACCCTCAACCCTAAAACCGTCATCCCAAAAAAGCGGGAGGCAGTACGAAGCTTCTGGTGGCTTGAGGAGACACTTCGCACGCAGTTGGGCAGGGTGTAGGGCTTATAGGGCTTAGGGCTTAGGGCTTAGGGCTTCGGGCTTAGGGCTTAGGGCTTAGGGCTTAGGGTTTAGGGTTTAGGGTTTAGGGTTTAGGGTCAGGTATTAGGGTCTAGGGCTTAGGGTTAGGTTTTAGGGTTTAGGGTTTCGGGTTCAGGGTTTAGGGTTTTATGGTGTTGGCCAAGCTATTGAGTTACACCTTTAGGTTGTAGGGTTGAGGGTGTATGTTTCGGTTCGGAAGGTTCAGGGTTTAGCTGAGTACATGTTGACCCCTCTTGCTGTTTTGTAGAACCCTCGTGATGAATCATCTTGACGGTTCTAACAGGTCTCTGCCTAGGATACAGTGTAGGCCCGAAATTCCCCCCTTTTCCGTGACAAAGCAGGGTAGCCTTTCTATTCCTGTCCCAAACCCAAAACCCTAAACCCTAAACCCTAAACCCTAAACCCTAAACCGTGGAGCATCCGACATCCAAGTTAGGCGGAGACCTCTTCCCAGCTACATCCTAATTTTACCCGGATATCCCTGAGAACCTGCACCTGTTTGCAGAGTTCAAGGAAAAGGCCTGACGGACCTGGCATATTGAAACAGGGGACCTGTAGAAACCTTTAGGATTTACGGTTCGGGGTTTAGAGCGTTCGGGGATTAGGGTTTAGGGCTTAGGGTGGATTCCTGACGAAGGAGGCATGAAAAAGGGACCTTGCGTTGAGATCAACCCCCCCCCTCTGGCTCCTTCAGTGCTCCACTGCGTTGCTTTGTTCGGAAAACCGGCTGGAAGCCAACTCTTAAATGGTCTCAATTGTGGCTAGGTAGGCCCTTGGGATATTTTATATTTTCCCTTATTGGGTTTAAGAGGATCATATTTAGGAATATTTTTCAGAGGGCTTTAAAGGCCATCCTAGGTTGGCTGTATGTTGTAGGGTTTAGGGCTCTAGAAAGAGACCTCCCATTCGCATACCCGACATGCAAAGGGTGTGATAGAACAGGGAACCTCCCAAACAGGGACTATCATGTAGAGGACGGACCAAATGTGCCCGAGACCTCGGCTCCCTGTTGCCTCTTCTAGGCTTCTATGCGGCATTCCTTCGTGAGCTCTTCCGCGTGCTCAGGCGATGACACGGGGGGGGAGCCGGTAGGAGGAGCCCGGTTATGTTCACACATTCGTAAATTCCCTTCTCCCTAGACCCCAAAGCAGACTACAGTACCCCAAGCTGAAAAGCCCCGAGCCGAACGGCCAGACCCCAAACCCCAAGCCACCTAAACTCTCAAATGCCCTGGAGGGAGGATTCCTCCGCGGTGCTTCTGCTGAACGTTGAGGCAGCCAAGATCATGCGGGAGTTGCTGGCTCAGGCGGGCGGATGGAGAGTCCAGGGCTTCGGCGTTTAAGGTTTTAATGATTATGGGGTTTGGACATTGGGTTTGCGTTTTTTTCAAGGACGCACAGAAGGAACCGTGGCAGCTGCCAGGCGTCTTGAAGGTTCTACGCTTAAAGTTCAAGCTAGGCCTCAGGTAGCCTGCAAATTCAGTACTTAGGTACAAAGCTTAATCCGAGCTCCTGTTTAATTGGTGGGGGGGCCCCCCCCCCCTCCCCAGAATAAGGAAGGCAGGGTTCCGCAATAGTTGGACCATGGCCCCGTCAGCTTCCAGAAAACCGAAGCCCCGGCTTCCTTAAAGCTTTTCCTTTTAAGCTTTAAGGCTTCTTTAAAGACTACAGGACCGGGGCTCCCCACGGGCCAGGGCCTCCCATAATTCTGGCCCCATTCTATTAATGTGACGCCGCCTTTCCCGGCCAGAGCCCGTAAGGGGTAGCTCAGGAAAGAATGAAAATTTCTGTCCTCCAGTAAGCAATCACATAAGAAATCCTTGCTTTCTGAAGGCCCTCAGCTTCCAGAAAACCGAAGCCCCGGCTTAGCAGATGTTTCACATCGACCCAAACGTCCCTGCAGAAGAAAAAAGCTGTCCGAAAGGCAGAGTTTCAAAATTTGACAACCCCCCCCCCCCCCCCCCCAAAAAAAAATTTCTTTAAATCTGGGGGGTTTGGCCCATACGAAAACCATCGTAATGGAAAGTAGTCTTCCGGCGGGAATCCGGGCAAAAAAGATTTCTTTAAATATGTGGGGTTAAATTAAACAGGAGCTCGGATTAGACTTAGCGACGGTGTTCTTGCCTTGAATGCTTCTCTGTCAGATTTGGGCCGGCTACCCAGACTTGCAGTCCCACTATGGGAGGCGGCACAAAACAGCAAGACTAGCACTACAACTGAACACTCTGAAGAATAGTCTCCGCCTAAACACCAGAAACTGAACGTGCAAGCCAAACATACCCTAAACCCGAAACCCGGCGTGTTGCTCGTGGCTGCACGAGCCATGGCAGCCATGAGAGACCCTACCAAATTCAAGAAGATAATTTAGTCTAGACCTTTACCCGAAACCCTGAACCCTAAGCCCTGAACCCTAAACCAGACCCCAAACCCAAACCCTACATCCCAAGCCTAAAGACCTACAGCCATCCCAACAGATGCACAGCCTGAGCCTGATATTCCTAAACCCTAAAACCCTGAACCCTGAACCCCAAACCCTAAACCCTACACCTTGCGGCTCGTGGCAGGAAGATGCATGGAGAGTAGTTGCAGAGCGCAGGCTCCCCAGGGTTCCCCCCTAAGGGGGGTTTGGGATTTAGGGTCTATGGGGCTTAGGGTTTAGGGTTTGGGGTTTGGGGTTTAGGGTTTAGGGCTTGGGGGGGTTGTCAGTGTCTGGGACAGTGCAGCAAGGATCCTGTCTGCCGTTTCTCTCGGCGTGGTGCGTTTGCAGCGAATCCCTAAGAGTCCATGTACCTATATACACGGGTTCTTGTATAGTAGCTTTATCGCCCACGTATATACGATGTGGGTACACGGAGCCCTGAACGCATTAAAGTGAAACTAAAGCCGAAGTTGAATCGAAGTCGATGCTGTCCCGCAATGCTGGGCACTCCCGCTGCCGCCAGCGGCATCCACTCGGATGCTTGCAAGTATCCTACAATACTGCGCCCTAAACCCGAAACCCTGAACCCCAAACCCTTTAGGTAGGGCTCCTTCTTGAGCAGTCCTTGGAGATCTGCTTATTTAGACTCTGAGTGGTGCCCTTATTCCAAGCCTGGGGTTTGGGTTTACGTAAGGGTTTGCAAACTTATGGGTCAGGGTATCCTTCCTTTTGTTCCTCCTTGCCTTGTCGTCTGGATAGAGAACCAAACAAAAGCAAAAGTCAGGCATCCACTCCCGCTGCAACATTCCCATTTCCTCCTCCCTTCGCATTCTGGCCGGACATGCATGGACGTGCTTCATTCACAATCTGCAGGAGTCACATTGACACAGCCACGACGGCAATACCATCTCCCCTGTCCTTTGTGTTCTTCCTTGGCTTCTAGGGACATCTGGAGGTTGGTCCTGCTTCAACCCCAACCCTAAACCCTAAACCCTCAACCCTAAATCCCCAGCTAGCCTGGCAAGCGCATGCGTGGACAACAGATCAGCATCCCGAACCCAAGACTTTCTTGGGCTTGCCTCTCATCTCAAATGGAACTCCAAGACCTCCAGTGAGTTTAGGGTTTAGGGTTTAGGGTTTAGGGTTTAGGGTTTAGGGTTTAGGGTTTAGGGTTTAGGGTTAGGGCTTGAGCCACAAGCAACCCTGCATGGCAGACCACCTTAGCACCCCAGCACCCCGCAGGCGAATGCATCCTTGCCCATGTGTGTCAAAGCATGCTGTGTAGCATTGACCCGGTTTAGGGTTTAGGGTTTAGGGTTTAGGGTTTAGGGTTTAGGGTTTAGGGTGATTCTGCCTCCGACTGGAACCCGTCATGCTGCCCTCTCGGGCGCACACAGAATTGTAGCTTCTGCTGAGAAGTCAGCCAAACAATCTTGGTCGCCCAGTGGGTAGACTCTTTTTTTCATGGGCATAATTGTGAGACGTGTCAGAACTGAATTCGGGGTGGATTTTGATTGTTCATGGGACATTTTTAGGGTGGCCCTTTCTCTCTCTCTCTCTCTTGACATGTTGTTTGCTACTCTTAGCTTACTTGGAACTGTTTTTAAAGATTGTCCATCGTTGTTTTACGTGCTTGCTTGGTTCGTTTTGCATTTTGGGAACTATTCATATGTTGCTTTAGTTCTTGTCGTCGTGTTCTGGGCTGTAGCATGCTCGCAGCCGCCTCCTTGTGAAAATGAAGCATAGCTGTCCTCTCACGTGCAAGGCTGTAGCCCCCAGATGCCAGTTTACGGTTCCAACCAGGATTGACACATGCCACAACACGTATTTGGCACGATGATCCGAATGGGCCTTCTTTGGCTTTACATTGCGGTATGTTCGAGTACGCGTATTTGTTCCCGGCTGCCTGCCGCCTGCCTGGGGTTCAGGGTTTAGCGCCCAGGGAGCTTAGGAACTAGGTCTTGTGCGCAAGGGCAATTCGGGACATTGTGCAGGTTCGACATCACTCACCACACGCTGGGGGTGCTCATGCTGTTGGAGGCAAAGGACTCCCATCTCCAGCGATGTTTCGCGGTGTAGGCGTACTGGTAGGTGCTTTCTGTGCGGTGAAGGTCGACCTTAGAGCCGTCTATCGATTTGCTATAGGATAACGAGGCTGCGAGAGAAATGTTTCGTTCAAGTCCTCTCTCAGAACTTTCTACGAACTGTCTGCTCTAGCATCTCCTGCTGACCTTGGGGAAGCGTTCGGGAGGGGGCTCGTACCAAAGCCCAAACCCTCAACCCTCAAACCCTCAACCGTAAACCCTAAACCCTCAACCCTACACCTTTGTGCTGCTGATCAGGAGCCGCGCAGCCCAACGGAGTTCGCCCTTCTTCCTTGGGAGCAAGAGGCCCCCCTGCATCTGGGGGATTATGAAAGGGCTGATGTTTTCTTTTTGGTGCTTTACTGTAACTTTAGATCCTTAGCCTTTTTGGGTTTATTGGGTTTCTTAATAAGGCAGCTAAAGTTTGATTTTTTACTAGCCTCCTAAGTGCAGCCAAGTTTTTGCAACTCTTCACGTGCCTAGAGTCTAGGCCCGGAGCTCTGAACACTAAACCGGTCTGTTTCCCAAACAAGACATGCTTGGGGTTCAGGACGTAGGGAACCCTGAAATTGAAGCCGAAAATTTTCAGAAGCACTCCCCATTCTAAGGTGTAATCCACATTAAAATAGCAGCAAGTCGTCATGCCTTCTGCCAGGGCAGCACGAGGAATCCGCGCGGCACGCGGTCCAGTTGGAATCGCCTCCGGGCCAGGCACAACATCAGGGTTTAAGTTGTTTGTTGTAAACCCTAAACCCTAAACCCTAGACCCTAAACCCTAAACCCTAAGGGGCGGGGGGGGGAGTGTGGAATCGGGATTCAGGGGTCGGAAATTCGGGGTATGGACTTTACAGTGGCTTAGGAATTGGGCTAAGAAGTTAAACCCTAAACCCTAAACCCTAAACCCTAAACCCTAAACCCTAAACCCCTAAACCCCTAAACCCCTAAACCCCTAAACCCCTAAACCCGAAGTTGGGGAGTTCTTGCCAAGCCTCGTTCTGGCGTCAACCTTGTCTTTCGTGAAATCTCTCGGTATATTAGTCTGTGACAGCAGGAATGTTAGGGCATGGCAGGATCAGGTTTGAGAGGTGTGACCCTGAGCTGCACCCCCCGGCCTCAGACGGTCCTTACCCAGAGCCAAGTTTGATCTTCCAGGTCCTTCCCCCCTCTCCAGCCGTTCGCGTTTGCCCGGCAGAGGGAGGACAAAAGTCCTGCGGACGGCCGTTGCTTTTATTTAAAAGGGCGAGGTTTAATGACAGTTATTGAGCTTTCGGGGCCCTTGCAGGAGGCTTCGGCTTTAGATCTTTCCACCATAAACCATAAGCCCTATAGACCCTACGCAAACTGCCTCCGTTCCTGCGCACGAGAACTGATCCTCTTTCAACAGAGATGGTTTTGGAGTTTGGGGATTTCGGGTCCAGGGTTCAGTTCAGCCAGCCCGCCCTGAACGCTTCCCCCTAAGACCTGAAACCCGACACCTCAGTCCCCAAACCCAAGACCCTAAAACCGCAGACCTCAACATCGAAAACACCGCCCCCCTAAACCCTAAACCCTAAGCCCTAAACCCTAAACCCTAAACCCTAAAACCCTAAACCCCAAACCCTAAACCGCTCTTGTTTTGAACTCTGCTTTCATGTAGCGGGGAGGGGGGGGGGGGTTTGGTTTCGGGGTTGTGTCGGCTGGCCTTTCTGATTCCCTCCCGAGTCTACAGTTACCCAAGCCCTAAACTTCAAACCCTAGACCCTAGACCCTAGACCCTAAACCCTATAAACCCTAACCCCTAAACCCTAAACCCTAGACCCTAAACCCTAAACCCTAAAACCTGAACCCTAAACTCTAAACCCTAAACCCTAAACCCTAAACCCTTAACCCTAAACCCTAAACCCTAACCCTAAACCCTAATGTTGCACCCTGTTTAGTATTGGCCCCCTCTTTAAAGACAAACTGGCCGAATGATTCAGGACATGCTGACTGTTTGGGACTCCCTCTATAAAGACAAATCGTCCGGGCGCCGTAAGAAAATTCCACGTGGCGCGCCTTTAAAAAAGATTACCGGGCATCGCTGCCCCTTTTGAACCTATCTAAACTCCTCCCTATTAAAATCATATAAGCCTCCGGGGCCGTGTAATCAGGATCCCATCCACGCCTCGACTGTTCAGGGGGGGGGGGGGGGGGGCCACACTAAACAGGGTGCAACATTAAACCCTAAACCCTAGACCCTAAACCCTAAACCCTAAACCCTAAACCCTAAACCCTAAACCCTAAACCCTAAAACCTAACCTAAACCCTAAACCCACAAAACATATTCCGAGGTCGACAGGTCATCGGCGAACTCCTCACCTCTGTCGACGCTGCACTGGCGAAACGTCTAGGGCTTGGAGCATGGCTGGGGTTTAGGGCTTAGGGTTTAGGCTTAGGGCGTAGGGCTTAGGGTTCAGGATTTGGAGTACACTTGGGATTGCTATGATGCTTGGGTTGATACCGTGCAATCCGAGGGTTATGGCATGCTAGCGTAGGGTTTGGGGGTTGCAGGTATACTGAGGCTATGGGCTTGCAGGTGTTGCTTGTGATCTTGGGTCCAGCGGCCTTGCCAGCGATGACTTCTTTCTGGGCTTTAGCTGGGCTCGTTTCCCCCTGTCCTTTTCCATACACATTTTGGTCGGCGAGGACCCTTTATCTTTACGTGCACACTCACACACACTCACTCACTCTCATGCACAGGCATGTACAAAGATGCATATACAAGCCCGAAACCTTCAACCCCGATAGTCTGGGTTTGGCACGTCACTGGCGCCCGCGGAGACCCCAAACCTCCAACAGTTTTCAGGCTTTCAGGCTTTCGACGTAGGCCCTGGATGATCCTAAACCCTATATGCCTTCCTGTATAAACTACACCCCAGGATTCAAGCTAATCTGCATCGACTCAAGGTCCCCCAAAACTCGGACTCAGGCGAAGAGGAGAAGAAGAAAAAGGCCGCCGAAGAGAAGAAGCAGGCGGAAGAAGTGCGGAAGAAGGCGCTCCGGAAGTGCTTCTTTGAGCGCTCTGGAGGGGCTGAGGGATTGGGGCTGACGGTGTCAAGGGTGAAGGGTCGAGGCTTTCAGGATTTGGGCTTAAGACCGCAGGGTTTGGGTATAGCGGAATATCACTCACTCCTTCATTGACATGCGTCCGACTCACTTGCCGCTGCTCGTTTTCGTTGTCGCAGCTTGTCAGCAGAAAGTTTTATGAAGTGTTGGAGGTCTTTGTATCTGACATAGTGTGGGGGATTGCTCTTCTTGGAGTGCACGTAGCAACGCTAAACCCTATGGCTACCACACTCTAAACCCTGAACGTCAAGCAAGCACTCAACACAAGCTTGGTTAATAAAAGGATTCACTGTGAACTTCAGGGGTTAAGGTTTGGGGGCTTCGGGGTAGTCTGGGGTTGAGGGTTAAGCGGCTCTTGACTCAACGTTGCCCATTGAATTCGTTTCAATAAGCTATGTGGATGGACGATGAGTGCCAGTGTCTCCCCTGCCTAGGATGGCAGGCTGGCTTGCTTGTGCCCTCTGCAGCTACTTGATGCCTCACAGATTGTTCACATCATCTGGTGTGTGGGGAGATCATGAACAATCCAGAACAACAGCACAAGAGCGGCAGTGAGCTCACAGGTATGTACAGCATGGCCGCCAAGACTCTAAGTCTGCGAGCATCTTCACAGCAGCCACTGCCACCCTCCTCAGCCCTAAGCGGAAGCCCTGAACCTACATCCCATGATCTAGCTGGTAGATGCAGAGCAAAACTCAGAGCAACTGGCTGTCAGAAGGACCTGCAGATACCAGGTACCTGATTCGACTGCTGCACCATGCCGAGTTGCAAATTTCGACGTTCGCAATCTCGTGGCCGACAAACACATGATGCCCAGGCAGCGGCAAGTCCTCATTGCCGTCTGAGTGTACAAGCGATGATCATCTTGTTTGCGCTTACGCTCCGTTTGCAAGGCTTGTTTGGTTTTTCTGTGGGACAGCAGCCTTTGAGAGAAGTTCGTGAGGGTGCAGGATTGAATCTTCCTGTTGAAACCATCCATCCGCGTGACAAAAGGCCAAGCCAGGAAAGCATTCGACTGCTCGATGAGATAGTAGGAGCTCTGGACAAAGGTGACTGGCAGCACATCAAGAAGTTGTTCACCAAATATCGTGGTGGTGACCTTCCCATCTTCAATGCGGTCATGCATGCGGCATGCATGTGACGCCAATACAAGGAGGGAGCGAGGACATACCAGAAACTGTGCAACCTTCCAGTTGCCAAGCAGCGATTCACTTTTTCGCTTGCTTTGAAGATCTACGCAAAGTTGGGTGAAAAGGATACCGTTCGAGGCATATGGACCGAGGCCCGTGCAACCTATGACTTGGACGAGTCTTTGGCGTTGTCGCGCATAGATGCTGCTGCAGCTGAAGGAGATGTTCTTGGCGCTGCGCAGGTCCTAGATGAGATGAACAGGAGCCATCTTAGCATGCATGTCGGGCATGTAACTGCTGCCATCCGTGCCTGCTGGAACTCCGAAGGCCGAAGTGATAATGCTGCACGAATGCTGTACAGCTTCATGTTGGACATCGGTTTGGAGCCGAACATCGTAACATTTACGTGTCTGCTGGGCGCTCATGAGGCAGCGTCGGTGGAGGACATTTGGAAGATATATACAGACATGCAGCAAGCTGGGGTGCAAGCCGACGTGGTTTTCGCAGAGACATTCTTGATCACAGTCTTGCGCAAGCCGAAGGCGGTGAAGTGGGATTATGATGAGGCGGTGGTCGCCCTTCGTGGCTTAGAGCCCCATCGAATACAGGCTGCGCAAGCGGCCCTGATGCACTTTAAGAAGACCAAGGTTCGTCTTTCAACGCTGAGCAGTCGCATTGACCGCGCTCTTCAGAGGATTGCAGCAGAGGGCACGTGACACAGCATCACGGCCCGATCAGGAAGCTCTCACCCTAATTGTGCAGGGCTGCCTCCGGACGAATACTCGCTGTAGGTCATCAGCTCCGACATTACGACTGGCATCTTAAACTCCCCAGATCCAAGGTTGGCTTTGGGCTTTGGCTGGCCACTTTGTGGTCAACCGCGACCTTAATAACTTAAGAGGTCATGCGCAAGGATGCTCGATTGCGACAAATCTTCAGGCGAACGTCGCGAATCGGAAAAGGTTCAGCTACAAGCTGGCACTTGAAAGCAGACAGATAGCGCAGGCCAAACTGATTTGTTTCGGTCGCAAAGCAGCAAGCCTTCCCTCGAAGACTTGTACAACATGCCTAGCCCCAGGAAAGCAAGAGTATTCGTAGTAATCGTAATAGGAGCAATGTTATCTTTATTCTTGAGAGTGATATGAAAGATGATGCTGGTTTTCTGTTTAAACTGGGGAACTCGCAATTGCAGACCCTGATTGCGGCCAGGTGCTGCCATCTCTGTTCGGATTGTGCCGTCGTGGCTTGTTGGGCTCCTTTGTTATTTATAGGGTCCTTAAGAGGGGTATGAAACCCAAGGTTCCCGAATACTCCACTCCTGTCTGAGGCTCCCTGACCTTCCCTAAGGTTCTCTAAGGTTATTAAGGTTCCCTAAGGTTACCCACGGTTACCCAAGGTTACCTAAGGTCTTCTGAGGTTCTGTACGGCTCCCTGAGGTTCCCTAAGGTCCCCGAAAGCCCCCACGGTCCCGAGGTTCCCTATAAGGTTCCAGGTTCGCTAAGGTTCCCTAAAATTCCCTAAGGTTCCCTTAAAATCCCTAAGGTTCCCTAAGGTTCCCTAAGGTTCCCTAGGTACCTACCCCCATGCACCCCCCTCCCTTAAGGACGCTGTAAGTGTTGCAGATCTCCACCCTACAACCAAAACACGCTGAGCTTGGGCCCCGTTCACCTGCTAAAGGAACTCGCAAAGCAAGAGAGGGCCGACGTGGGGGACCTCAGACTTTGGATCTCTCAAGTCGCTGGAAGGAAGATCAGGGGTGGGGAGCATGCTCCCGACAGCTTTTTGCATCACGACAGCGGTTTTGTACTCAAGATCAAGCCTTGGCAATAAACCTGACCCCGTCGGAAAACCTTACTGGCATAAAGCCCCAGCTCACTGTCCTTCCTCTGGACGACCCCTAAACCCTAAACCCTAAACTCAAAGCCCTAAACCACAAACCCTACGTGCAGTAGACCCAGAGTAGGCCCTTGCAGGGTGCACCCTTTTTATTCCTAGGTTTTCTCTTGGGTCTAGGTAGGCAGGGTTTAGGGTTTCGGGCACAAAACTGCAGCTTCGGAAATTCTGCCTTGGGGCGTCAGGAAATGTAGTTCTTATCCCCTGGCTACTCTCCCACTGCAAGCTGAGTGTCTTTTACAGGCCTTAGGCAACTGGAGCCAGAATAAATGTGTGTACGCGCACATCATGGTTTCCGATTGAACATCCATACGTGCGATGTTGCCTGTAGATGAAGATTCCAAGGTCGTTGCCTGACGCCCTAAAACCCCCGCAGCCTTAAACCCGAGATCTCGAAGCAAACTTGCGCCTGAAATAAAATCTGACCATTATAGCCAAGAAATCTCCCAAGCCCTGGATCGCGCTCATATATATATATATATATATGCATATGCATATGCATATATATATATATATATGTGTATATATATATATATATATGCATATATATATATATATATGTACTCGAGGCTTGTCTTTTTCCCAGGGCTGGGCCGTTTATAAACTTCGAACCCCAAGCACTGGAGTTCCTTGGGGCCCATTGCCGGTCAGGGGCCCCCCAAGCCCAACCTGAAAACCCCTAAAGTCTAAGAAGTATTCAACCCACCCCTTGGGCTTACCCTTAAATGGAAGTAAGAGGTATGACGAAATCCTTCCTGTTATTCTCCTTCTATAGGTTAGGGGGGCACGGGTTTGGGGTATGTTGAATCTTAGATGAAGCCTGGAAGCCTAAACCCAAGTTCTGAAGCCTAACGAGTTAAAGGCGCGGATATTGGGCCTCGCGAAGCTTGCCCTCACCGATGCCACCGCCAAGGAGGCACCAGATACGAGAAAAGCCTTGTTTAGAGTTTTCGATTTTCGGGTTTTTTCGGGTTTAGGTTGTTGAGCTCGTAGAGGGCTTGTCATAGGGTTTGCATAGAGTGTCTAGGACCTTGGGTTGGGGAGGCTTGAAGCCTCCCGGGAATCGGGTGTAGGGCTTAGAGGGGGGGGGTGATCCTCCCTAACTCCCAAAATAAGCCTAAACCCAAAGGAGGGTTGCCCTCCTTGTCCGAAACCCTGAGCCCAAATGTGCCTCCCTTCTCCCCGCCCGCATGCACAAAAACCTGCTCCAGTGATGCTTGTTCTTGCAGGCATGTTTTGTCCCTAAACCCTAAACCCTAAACCCTAAACCCTAAACCCTAAACCCTAAACCCTAAACCCTAAACCCTAAACCCTAAACCCTAAACCCTAAACCCCTAAACCCTAAACCCTAAAGTCCTGAGCCTCGAAGCCACCTCTCAGACCCTAAAGCCCTCAGGCAAAAAAAACAGAAGCCTAAACCTTGTTGGGCATAAGAACCACTACATGAGGTACGGGGTTTAGGGTTTAGGGTTTAGGGTTTAGGGCTTAGGGCTTAGGGCTTAGGGCTTAGGGCTTAGGTCTTAGGGCTTAGGGCTTAGGGCGTGGTTGCTTCTAAGACAGGGTGAGTGTATAGATGGTGTCCTTTGAGGATGCCAGCAACAGGGCTCTTTCTTGTCCTATGGCAGCAAAAGAAGGAGGGTTAGGGGGCTAGCGTCTTCGCAGGGCTGGGGAGTCAATCCCTGAACCCTAAACCCTAAACCAAAACCCTAAACCTTAAAACCTAAACTCTAAGCCCTAAGCCCTAAGCCCTAAGCCTTAAGCCCTAAGCCCTAAGCCCTAAACCCTAAACCCTACCCCCTAAACCCCTACCCCCTAAACCCCAAACCCCTAAACCCCGACAGGCCGAGGCTTGGGCGGCGCACAAAGCCTGCCAAAGGCTTACCAGGCCGACTGTGCACGACAAGACGCCTGCCTTAAGAGCCCCAACACCTACTTCTGCGTAGTACGAATTGCCCCTTTACAGCCCAAAACCTATTTCTTTGTAGTACGAATTACCCCTTTGGAGGATTCCGAAGTGACCTGGTAGATTATATACTTCGGAATCCTATGAAGGGGTAAGTAGTAGTAACCTACAAGAAAGTAGGTTTTGGGGTTCTTAAGGTGCTTCTCCCATCACAGAAGACTGGGGACGTTTGCTCAAGAAGGGCTTTATGATATGTGTTTGGGATGTTCGTAGGCTTTCATGTTAAGTGATTAGGGCCATGGCTGTCGGTTCAAGCTTCGGGCGCAGACTTTATAGGACTTTGTCGATCGATAGTTTTAGTAATGCAGTTGGGAAGAGGTAGAACTTGCCAGGGAGACGGTCCTGCACGGGGGGTGGCTCCTTAGAGCTTTCACCTCAATTTGGTCAGCGCTGGCTTCTCCGTTGAGTGTTTGGCATCTTGCTCTAGAATGCCAGGGAGTACCCGGAGTCCCTTTTTGGTAGGGGCTAGGTGTCAGGCTTGGGAAAAAACATTGAGCGAGCAAGTGCGCGCTGGTTGCTCTTCCTGCGTATGTGGGTTACCCAGTTCCAGAGAAGGGGACCCTCGAGTGGCGGAATGGGAGGAGAGAAAAGATACAGAGATCACAACGGCTTCAAAAAGTGCAGGCATGCTCGAGGTTTACCCTTGGAGATGGATAAGTAGTCCAAGAGCGCATCCAGAGGAAGGAATCCGTGAATCGGCGAACCCAAGCAGCATTAAAAACAAGGACAACGAGGGAACGAACTTGCAGCACACAACGCGAAGCAAGCGCGCGCATGCAGCGGGACGTGGCTTCGCATGCGACAAAACGAGAAATCTAACGCTTTTTGTGGCAGCAGATATACCCCAAAAAAACTAATCCCGAAGATTTGAAGACCCTTCAGAATCTGAACCTCAGCTTTCAGAGTCCTTCGCCCTTACGACCCCAAACCCCAAACCCCAAACCCCAAACCCCAAACCCCAAACCCCAAACCCCAAACCCCAAACCCCAAACCCCAAACCTTAACCCTGAACCCTAAACCCGAACTCTAACACCTAGCCCTAAGCCCTAGAACCCAAGGCCTCAAGCTCAAAACGGCTGTTTAACTGTTTGCGTCAGGCCATTTCCCACTGGGAGCTGGCCGTCGCTCCTTCAGAGATACGAGAAGGAGCTGCTGACGCGGGGGCCTCGCCGTGGCTAAAGATAGGGTTTAGGGTTTAGGGTTTAGGGTTTAGGGTTTAGGGTTTAGGGTTTAGGGTTTAGGGTTTAGGGTACAAAAACGGAATCCGAAGCTCAAAAGCCCCAGCACCACAAGTGGGGGTCCCCAGCCCTTTCAACCCTTGAATCCCTTCAACCTTGAATCCCTTTAACCTTCAACCCTTCCATCCCTTCAATCCTTCAGCCCTTGAACCCGTCAGCTGCAAGTCAACCCTTCAACCCTGCAACCGACTTCAACCCTCAACTGACCCTAAACCCTAAACCCTAGCCCTAAACCCTAAACCCTAAACCCTAAACCCTAAGCCCTAAACCCTAAACCCTAAGCCCTAAACCCTAAACCCTAAACCCTACCCCTTCAATCCCTAAACCGTGAACGAGGCCAATCCTCAACGCCAAGGAGGATTCCGGCGCTGGAGACCCGGGGTTCTCTTTTTTTTAGGGTTTAGGGTTTAGGGTTTAGGGTTTATAGGGTTTAGGGTTTAGGGTTTAGGGTTTAGGGTTCAGGGTTTAGGGTTTAGGGTTTAGGGTTAGAGTTTTTCTTGGAGCTCTGCGACCTCCAGCCAAATCGTCAGCCCCCAGCCCTTCCTCCTCCCATAACCGAATTTAGGATTTGCTTGGGGCTTAGGGCTTAGGGTGTAGGGTTGACAGTTGAGGGTTCCAAAAC